GTCGATGATATTTTTGCAGTTATAAATAAAGATTTTAATATGGGGGTTTTCATACAACATTTAAATTCTTTTTACCCATCGATTAAATTTACATATGAACAAGAAATAGAGGGAAAATTGCCTTTTTTGGATTTATTAGTTAAAAGAACAGAGGGGGAACTAAATTTTGAAATTTATCGGAAAAACACACACACGTTCAGATACATTCCGAACACATCGAACCACACCTGGCAACACAAATTGTCAGCTTTTAATAGTATGGTTTACAGATTAATTAATATTCCGATGAATAAAATAGATTATGATAAAGAATTGGTGGTTATAAAAGAAATAGCTAAATTTAATGGGTATAACGAAAACATAATTTTGAAATTAGTCCGAAAACAAAAGTGGAAAAAAGAAAGGAGGGCAGCTAGTACACTCTCCAGCGAGGGGGAACAAAAAGTAATTAGATCACCAATTTTATTTTATCCGGGCATCTCAAATGGATTAACTAAAATATTTAAGAATTTTGGTATTACTTTGGTAACATCTAAGAGTAATAATTTAAGAGATTTATTAGGTAACCCTAAAGATAAGGTAGATGAAGGGGGGAAATCAGGCATTTATAAAATACAATGTGAAAGTTGTAATAAATGTTACGTAGGACAAACAAAAAGAAATATAGGGGTCAGGTTTAAAGAGCACTTAAGAAATATTAAAAATCAAGAAATTGAGAAATCTCCAGTGGCCGAACATTTATTGACACATAATCACTCTATTAAAACCATAAAACTAATTAAAAACGTAAATAATTACAAAGAACTTAATATCAGAGAAGCAATAGAAATGTTTAAAAATAAAAACAATTTAATTAATTGGGATCTTGGCCCACTGAAAAATTCATTATTAAACTTGTGTAAACTGGCAAAATGTGATAATATTACTTAGTGATAACGTCACTAGGTGATAAGGTCACTAGGGGTATATAAGGGAGTTTTTTCTAGTCGGGGTGTCAGTATGTGTTTAGCGTTGATAATGGTAACATTGTTTCCGAAATACGTATCCGCGACTTTTCATTAATTTTTTTGTGGCTTTTGAGTTTAATATTTTTAATATTTTTTAGTTTTTTTAAATTAATAATATTTTTAATATAGTTTTAATTTTACTTAGTTTTATAGTATAAAATAAAATCCCAATCGGTTTCATTAGAATTTTTTTCGGTAACGTTTCAGAGAGGTACGAAGCGGATCTGGCCAGTTTCAAACAAGCCGTCGCGGACGGCACGGTTACGGACGAGGCGATCATCGTGCGCTTCTATCTGCTGCTGCCGCCGTGGCACGACGCCGACGAAAAAATTCTAGACGACGTCCGAGCGATCAAACACTCTTATAAAGCCGATGACTGGTCCCGGTTGATCGAGGATATAAAGGACGAGGTCGATAATTGATTTCTTCGTCGAGGACGTGGAATACCGACGCAGTAATCCTCGCGATAAGTTGAACCTCGTTCAAGAAAATATACTGAGACGTTACTACGAGAGAAACCGCTGCGACGTAGACCAGGAGTTTAAAATGCGAGACGCCATGTACTAAAACAACCGAGAGTCGGACGACGACTCGTCCGCTAACGTCGTAAAACACGGCCGTTCGGCGGTGACCGAGTGTAGATTTTTGTATTTTATTGGAAATAAAAATTTATCTTTCTGTTACGTACGTTTTTTTTTCTTACCGCCGTAATACGATTTATCAATACTAGGCTCCGCCCCAGACCCGGGGCCCTACGGGTGGGTAAGCCTCTTCGGGCCGTCATCATGAGTAGGCCTCCGATTCCGGTAGGAGTACGATAAGTGTTTTGCAGAAAAAATATTACATCAGAATCGGTGCAACAAAATTATATTAAAAATGTTATTACTTAATGAAATCAAGAAAATTCAAAAAGAGAATATATAGTAAAACGTATTGGGTACAAGGTCGACGTTTATTAACGGGGTGTTCCCTTTAGGCGTATTGAAAAATTATTTTAATGCGCAGAAATGAGTCAATGCGCTTTATAAAAACAATGCGCGTCAACTTTTGTTGGTGAAAAAAATGTTGAAAATCTTAGCGAGCTCAGATTTTCAAAATTTTTTTTTTGTAATTTTCCCAGAAAAGCGTTTTTTTCCTTGTTCTATTATATGTATTAATATACCGCGATATACTAATATACCAAAATACTACCCGAGTAGCAATTCGAGTTTGTACGGGGTTAATTTGATATGGTAACAACGGTGTTGAACTCGGTTCAAATCCGTTCGTAGTGAGGTTCGAAACGAGATTTGAATGCGGATTTTAACACGGCGTGAACCGAGTTCTACAAAAGTTCCGCAAGAATTCGTAGACAGTTCCTCGGTTCTCGAGCACTCGAGCACATTACGGCGTGCTCTACTATGGTTGGGTTGGGTTGGGTCAACGATGGAAAAATGGCAGAAAATATTCCCAAACAAATTTTTTTTTTTTTTAATTGAATTAAGATATGTATAATGACATACTAAAAGTCCTCATCGATTGTAAGAGTACTGTAGGAATACTCTAAATGAACTGTAAGAGAACTGAAAGAGTACTATAAGAGTACTGTAAAAGTAATGGAAGAGTACTCTAAAATTACTGTAAAAGTACTGTAAGAATACTGTAAAAGTACTGGAAGAGTATTGGAAGAGCACTCTAAATATACTGTAAGAGTACAGTAAGGGTACTCTAAAGGTACTGGAAGAGTATTGGAAGAGTACTGGAAGAGTACTTTAAATTTACTGTAAGAGTACTGTAAGGGTACTCTAAAGGTACTGGAAGAGTACTTTAAATATACTGTAAGAGGACTGTAAGGGTACTCTAAAGGTACTGGAAGAGTACTTTAAATTTACTGAAAGGGTACTCTAAAGGTACTGTAAAAGTAATGGAAGAGTACTCTAAAATTACTGTAAAAGTACTGGAAGAGTATTGGAAGAGTGCTATAAGAGTACTCTAAAGGTACTGTAAGAGTACTGTAAAAGTACTGCAGAGTACTCTAAAGGTACTGTAAAAGTATTGGAAGAGTACTCTAAAGGTACTGTTGTGTTTTATTCCCCTGATGCTTTATAGTTGCCAGATCGCTTTATGAGAACAGCTATTTTGTTAACCGTCGTGTTCGGGTATTACGTTTTGCCCGGACACAGCATCTAAAAATAAAGGCACATTAGTACATAATATAACGACTGGTTAAGGCGTCTGAGTATCGGATCTTTTTTGCAGGGATCGATTATAGGCAATTTGGCGGTTGTTGCGTGTTACGCAGTGTCGTTGCGTGAGAAGTAAATGATTATTAGTGCGAGTGTCCGTTATTGGGAGTATTTGCACTATGTTATAGTTTATAACAAAACCGGTTGTGTACCTGCCTTACTTTTCGTGGCAATACGATTATAACGATAACGACGCACGTTTATTTTATGTAGTATAAAAACCTTAGTTTTAGTGATGGGAATTTCGGGCCAATCGAACGACGATCCGGATCGTTTGGATCGGATCGTTGAAATGACCCGTTCATATAACTCGTTCTTTCGTTCGTTTCTTACGATCGGTCACGGTTCTTATCAATTACTCCTCACTGTGGTTTTCTTGAACGAGTCGCTGAAATTCGCATTTTCAACGTGAAACCCAACCGCGATATCAGAATTTTTACTGATAATACACTTGTATAATCGGGTTATATATTATTTTTTCAAATACAAATTACTTGAAATAACATAATATGCTGATGTACACGAATATTTTTTGGTATAGAATAAAAACAAATAATTTATACTAGCGGATGAGTTGCTGCGGTACATAAATGCGTAGAATTTGTTTCTATAATAAGCGAAATCATTTAAATTATTTGTTTTCATAAAACGAGTTTTATAGAGAAATTAATTCGCCTTAATCAGATATTACAATTTACAGCGACTACGACCGGATTATAAAAGAGCGAGGGGTGGTTTAATACCTCTCACAACAACTATATTAGTCTAATAGTCAATTGTTGTCCTAGTTGCTAAATTCGTTAATTCATAGACCTATTTTCGCTTGTAAATAATTATATGAATGTAATATTTACGAAATAAATAGCTATATATTGATAATCGAAATTGTTCTTCAAATGAACAATACAGTAGGATACTCGAAATAATCTAACTGTATTAAACCTGCATGATTATGTTAGTAGAAAGATGTCACGACGACGACGACTTTGAAAATTTGGTCTGCAGACCTACAATAAAAATGTTTTTATCGCAAACCGAATAGTGTTGCTTTTAAACTCTCGTTGGCAATAAGTATTTTTTTTATTTAATTTTTTAAGAAAACATTTCAAGTATATACTTATAAAGAATCTATTATTCGTTTTTTTTTTTAAATTTTTATATTATAAGAATAGTTTGAGGTAAGTTAAAAAATTATACTCCATATGATAATAATTAATTATAAAAATATATTAGGCATAATTTATAAATTAATAGATGATGGCTTCAAAAACAAATTTAAATAAAAAACGTAGTGATATCTGGAATCATTATACGTTAATAGCACAAAATGTTGCAAAACGTAATTATTGCAATGAATCAAAAAGTTATAGTGGTGGATCAACTGGTAACTCAACTCGACATATTAAAATACGACATGTTACAGTACCATTACGTCGAACTATCACGGTAATTTAAAATAGAAATAATTTCTAATAGACTATACATATTTATGCACGATAATATAAAAATAAAATATGATTTTCCTCCTTTAATGAAAGTTTTATTTCTTGATAATCTTCATTCCGACTTTCAAGTGTTAAAAAAATATTCCATGATTATGTTGAATATAAGTTTCTGATCGTTTTTTAACCTTAAACACATAAATTAATACACAATTAAAAACCATTTCGGACAAATGAGATGATACAGTTTAAGTAGTTTTAATAAAATTATTAAGAATAAAAAAAAAATTAAATTAGGCAGCCTAAACGGCTCAGTCGTAAACGGCTTACTTCAGAATAAAGACAGAGAGGTTCAATTCCATTGCGCTGAGCTAGTTAGACTTTTTTTTCTTTGCCGCACAGCAGTAGACTATAATAGGATTTAACCCCCATTCGCAAGCAGGTTTTCTGGACTAAACGAGTAAAGACGTATATTAACATTAGACATTTATCGGTTAAGAGGGCAAAGACGTTAATTGATGTCCAAAATATATGATCATTGATAAAAATTATGATAATATAAAATTCGTTAATTTACGTTTTTAGTTCTTATGAAACTACTATTATTACTTGTAACTGTGCTGTTTATATTAATAAAACAAATAAATTTGTATAAATTTGGATCATAACATTTTAAAATTAATAAAGTTATTAAGTACTTGAATTTTAAATAGGTATATGAAAGTAATTCTGAAAATATTGACAATCCACAACCGTTAGCATCAAATCCAATTTCATTAACTCATCCTCCGGGTAATTCATTAATTCAAACTACATCTTCACCATCAATCAATCAATATACATAACCCCAATTGGCTATTGCAAATTTTATTCGACGACCACTGCCTTTTAGTAAATGAAAATCTATCGACCAACAACTCGTAAGAATGATAGTAAAAGAAAATACCACCCATTTAGTGTAGTAGAGGACAAAGAGTTTAGAAAGTTAATAAATTTATTATCTCCGAACTATATAATTCCTTCGAGAAAAACAATTTCTAATAGTATAATGCCTCAGATGTACAAGATGGTTATAGAAAAAGTTAAAGAGCAATTGAAAAATGTTACCGCTGCATGTTTAACTACTGATGGATGGACTTTTCGTAATAACCAAAGTTTTATTGCCGTAACAGCACATTTTTTAAATCCTGAAAATAATTCAGAGCTGTCCGCTTATTTATCGGGATGTACTAGTTTTCCCGAAAGTCACACGGCTGACAACTTAGCCTTGTTGGTTAAAAAATACAGTATTCGAGTGGGGATTAAATGATAGAGTAACAGCTGTAGTGACAGATAATGCGTCTAATATGAAATTAGCTATAGACAAATGTGACTGGAGACGAATATCCTGTTTTGCCCGTTCGGTGAATTTAGTGGTTCGAAATAGTTTAGAGATCATTGAACCAGTAATAACTAAAGTTAAAAATATTGTTTCATATTTTAAGAGGAGTTCTCACGCTTTAGCAAAGTCGGAAGAGTACCAAAAACAAACAGGAAGTCCTATTTTAAAGTTAAAACAAGATTGTCCAACACGTTGGAATTCTTGTTATGATATGCTAGAAAGAGTATTAAAGCTTAGAGATCCAATAACTGCAACCTTAGCTATTTTAAATAGTAATCACTCGAATTCCCTAAATTCTTATGATTGGGAAGTTATTATAGAAAGGATCTATTAAAAATTTTTTATGATATTACTGTTGAAATAGGTGCAGAAAAATATGTAACGATTTCAAAAGAAATAATTTTTGTTAATGCACTATTAAAGTATACTGCTAACTTTGTGGATGAAATAAGTTTGCCAAAAGAGGTACAAGAGGTATGGCTGAAATTTAAAAAGAAAAACTATTAATTCGATTTGGATCCGTTGAAGATAATCTTTTAATTGGTCAAGCTACTCTCCTCGATTCCAGGTTTAAGAGCCGTGCATTTTCTAATACTATTAAATGTAAAGAAATTATTAGACAATTGAAAAACAAAATATCAACCGTTACAACTGAAAATGAATTACCCGATTCTTACGAATTAATATCAGCCGAACCAATTTCTTCTACATCATCCGCAGTTCGGGGAGATTTCGATAAAACTGTTAACCGTATAATTGGTAGTAATAATTCAACAGCAGCGTCAATAATAGAGATGGATAAATATTTAAACGAACCGTTAATAAACCGTCATGAGAATCCATTACTATATGGTGGTCTGAAAGAAAAAAAATATACCCACGATTGTGCGAAATTGTAAAAAGGAGACTCTGCATAGTAGCAACATCAGTACCACGTGAAAGGCTGTTTTCTAAAGCTGGGCAGGTAGTAACTGACAGAAGAAATAGGTTAGAAACAAAAAAAATTTCTCAGATTTTGTTTCTAAATCATAATACGTAGAGCTGTATAACAAAAATTTTAATGTAATTTTTAAAAAAAGAACAGTATTGATAATATTATTTAAAATTATATAAGAATTTAATCTTTGGAGTTAAATTTAACAATTCATAAATTAAATAAGCAGTCCAAAGTGAACTGAAATCAAGTTGAAAGGTAAGTCATACAAGGTTATAGAAAAACTGAGTTTCTTGTATGGTTTTGAGAATTGAGAAATAGAAGATAATAAATTAGAATAAAAATTGAGTGAAGGTGAGGATACTTAAATTAATTGACAAGAGGAGATATATAAGGAATGAATATTATATATTCAGAATATATAAGAGATATTATTTCAGAGAAAAAAGATAATATGATAAAGAATAGACTAAGATGGTTTGGAATTAAATGGTTTTATAAACAAATAAATATATATTCGGGATATTGAGATGAATGGGTGAGATTAATACAAGGGTGGCTATCTCAAAATAGTCAGAAAATAGGTGAAAATAGTTTTAAAATATTTAGTATTTTTTAAAACTTAAATTAATATGAAACAGAATTGGACCAAATGCATCAATATTACAACTCGAAGTAATCAACATCTAACAGTGTACATTAACTAGTCACGGTAAGTATTTAACAAAAATTATCAAACAGCGAGTGACATTTGCTTATAAAAACTTAACACCAAAATTAAAAAGATAAATATTTACAACTGTTAATACATGTTAATAATATAAGATTAACTAAATTTAAAGAAGCTTTTAAATATTAATTAATCAAAATAGTAATAGTAATTATAAATTTTCTTACGAAAAATGTTGTTTGTTTAAAATATACATTTATGGAAAACTGAGGCACTTTAAGAAAAACTGTTCAAATTATTAAACAAAATAGAATTTAAAATAAACATCATGTACATACAATATTCATAAAGGATTAATACTGCGCACGGTGTTTTATTATTTCTCTCTAGGTTAGGCATAGGTTTTAACCGAAGTGCAGGTAAACGTTCAGTCAATGAACGAATCATGAAACAGTGTGTCCGATATATTGCGTGAAACGAACGAACGAACGAACGTATGAACGAATGAACGATATCTATTTTTTTTGTGATCCGGATCGACTCGTTCACTGATATGACCCGTTCAAAAAGACCCGTGTTCGTTCGTGAACGACCCATCACTACTTAGTTTAACATCAGCCTTACCGTAAATACTTATAGACGAATCACGATTTCACAATTGTTTATTGGTGATAAAAATTTTCAGTATGACGTCACTTGGGTATCGGTCAGGCCACTTTTTTGAAATTGTGATGCCTCCGCGCAAAAATTTTTTTTGAAAATATTAAAATTAATCAAAAATTTAAACTGTACTTGCAAGTGGTCTTTTTGTCGGCCTGCAACAATAACGTTGTTTGCCACTTGCATAACGACTAGCTATGGTAGCAAGAGTCGCCACTACCTAGGCGCGGTGTTACACCTATCAGATATTATTACCGGACAATAGGTGGAATTTAATTTTAAGTTAATTAATAGTTTAATTTAAGTTGTTATGTCGTTATATGTATAAATGTTATATGCTATATGTATGATTATAACACCTCGTGGTATATTAATCATAACTATGACAATTGAAGTTGTATGTGGTTGATATGTAAAACATATCGTAGCCCGTGTCAAGATCAAGGAACAGGGATAAAATACGCGCGAGCACTTAAGTTAGTCGTGCAATAAAATAAATATTACAAATAAAATTGATAAGGAAATTTAATTTAATTGTTAAAAATAGAAAATTAAGTTAAAAATGGACAAAAATGCGAATGCATCAAAAACCATGTCTACAAATAAAGGCAATAAAATATTTTAACAAAAAAAAAACAAATAATATTACAAACATCATGGACTGTATTGGAACGCATCCGTTAATGTTAATCGGAAATAAATTATCAACACCGGAGGCGGTCTAGACACTTGCCAACTTAGCGTTGGCTAGAAGAAAAGGGAAACACGTGCTCTCCACGCATAAACAAAATGAAATTAATTTATAATAAAAAAATTAAATAAAATAATTAATGAAATACAGCTCATTACATAAATATAATTATAAGAGAGAACGACACCCGGTCTCCGAAGAGACCCATCCGATGTTCTGGATGCTTCGCCGAAAAGCCCTGGCCGTTCGCCGTTGGCGGCTCTACTCCATCATTGAGAAAAAATGACAATACCACAATAAACGTGTGCACTCTAGCACGGTCAATGACAGAAGAAGGACGAAGAAGAGCCAACACCGATCTAACGACAATTTCAAATCGATAACGGCCAGTCTTTTTGGGAGGGATAAATACCGATGAGCGATTCGATTTGAATTGTATTTATTCTCTTTTGTCGCCTTATCCAGCGGTCAACAGCAGAAATAATGAGTTGTTGACACCGCTGTGTCAGAAAGAGGTTCTTTCGCGTGATAAAATAAACAAGTAGACATAACAAAAAATTATCGACGGCCCGCCTTTGAATTTGTGACGTTACACACTAAAGGGTTAAAAACATCGAAATTTCAAAAATATGGCCAAGTGACATGATACTGAATTCAAATTCGTTTTCAGAATTCTTATCGCATCAGTAGATTTGTCTACTGATGGAACAAAAACAGGTTGACCCAGACGCCTTAATATATTCGTGCATCAAGTACAAGGATTCGAAAATTAAGCAATAAGGTTCCCGACGTTCGTAACGATCGACTAGTTTTTAATGGAACGCGTAGTGCCGTACTAGGGTGGTCCTTATTTTACGAATTTCGAAATTTCTTTCGGGACACCCCTCCATTTTTTTCTTTGGTATAAAATTACAATATTTTGAATATTTAAGATAGTTTGAATATTTAAGATAGAAAAATTTTAATCAAAGAGCACAGCATTTTAAGGTTTTGACCGCGAATTTTCGAAGAATATTCGATAAAGCCATAAAAAAAAACCTATATTAGAGGTTATCGAGTGATTTCTTTTAATAAAAGTCAATATACAAGAAAGAACGTTATGTAGAGACAAATATTTTGATATATTATTTTTAAAAATGTATTGAATTTTTACATGTGATAGTAGAACTATAAAGTATGAGCTGGGACCCCCCCTAACCCAGATGTTGTGGGTTTACCCTGTCATAGGTGGACGGACGTTGTAAACGGCCGGGGGGTGGATATGGTGAAAGGTCGATGTTTCTCGTTCCTAAATAGCGTTTCGTTATACCGTGGTACATGTTACCTTGGTATATGCATAGTATACCTAGGTAGATGGAACATCAAACAGTATACTTTGATATATTATAGAAAAATTTGAGGGATTTTGAAAATTGCATAATTTTAGAAATATGTGGTAATATTTGAATGCGGAAAAGTGAAAGGTGTAATCAAGTGGCGGCGACGGCGGCTATTAATCCCACGAAACCCAACTATAGCTATGTGACGTGTAGGCCTTTGGTACTATTAGTGTGAAAAAGTGTACGTTGTCAAAAAACTGTTTTAACTGTTGCATAGGAAAATCCATGACTGTATACGATTTAAGTGTTATTTATGCTCATCTACTTTTTCGGACAAATGCGGACTTGTACAGTTATCTTGTAATGTATACCCTGTTATATTCATAGTATACCGAGATAGTTGGAACATCATATAGTATATCTTGATATATTATAGAAAATTAGAGGTATTTTGAAAATTGCATAATTTTAGAAATATGTGAAAATATTTGATTGCAAAAAAGTGAAAGGTGTAATCAAGCGGCGACGGCGGCTATTAATCCAACGAAACCCAACTTTAGCTATGCGACGTGTATGCCTTTGATCATAGAGAGCCCCCTTACTTGACTAACGCGTGTATTAAAACAGTAAATCAGCGGCTTACTCCTCCTATATAGAAGGGGAGGTGATAATAAAACTCGTCATAAGGTGAACATTATTATTATGATATTAAAGTAAATAAATAAATATGTACAATATTATACTATTTCATAAGAATTGAGTTAGTTATTTTTTAATTATAGAGAAAATATTTATACGTTTGAAATAATATTTTATCAAATTCTTTTTTGATTATTCAGTCACACTACCGCGTTTGTTAATAGACATTTTTTGTTAATGTGTAATCGTTATTGTATAAAACATGTATACACATAATCTATTACATATATTTGTATACAAATATTTAGAAATCGAGAGTTTAAAATTAATTATTATGATATTAAAGTGAAATTACTTAAGCGGTGAAGGAATGGGTTAGTTTACGGGGATATGTGATCAGGGATTTGCTGACCCCCCTATGAAAATATGTGATTTTTTCGCATAAATGAGCATAAAATCGTTGATAAAGTCACAGTGCCATCAAGAACCATCAGCTCTAAAAAGAAGACTCTACTCTATGAATAATATGGCTGCCGAACCTGTAAGAAAACAGCGCTACATCTATATCGCACCAACACCGCCAGCCGAGATGATTGACTCTAACAGTTACACTATTGCGTTCAGCGACAGAAAATTTTTGCAAGTGGGCCTGAATCCAAAGGATGACTTCAATGTTACGGTATGCATTATTACTCCTTCACGATATATTAGTATGTCAGCAGATTATTTAAATATTATTTACGGCATGAGGGATGAAATAACATTATTTGTACAATCACCTCCGGTAAAAGGAGAGAACATTATGTTATACCAAAATGTCGATTTTAATATAGCCAAAGTATTGTACCGTGATACCGTGCGTTTAGTATTAGAATCCAGAATAGTGGATGGGTGTCGAGTGTTATTGAATAACGAAAACATTAATAGACTTATGGACTTACAGTGTACTATTAACAGTGCAATATCAAGAAAAATAAAAACACGTTTACTATTAAGCCATCAAATAGACCGCATTATACAATACGCCGACGGTAAATGGTCAAAATTCAACAATCAAACAATGATGAAATGGTTAATTTTATAAGAAGTTTGAACGACATTGAAATATGCGATACTATTCCTAAAGGTGACAGTAAATACATAAGTGAGCTGAAAAATTTAGCGTACAATGTAATAGTTGATCGTTGGATCAAGTCATGGTCCGTGGGTACGCTTCAAATTAATGTGAGTTTAATGAACATAGATTGTAATAACCTTTATTGTTATTAAATATATAATTATGTTTTAGGAAAAAGAAGAAGAAATGTGCGATGAAAATGATCGACCAACATTTTTCAATACAACAGTGTTTACCCGAGAAAATAGTTATAGTCCGTGGGCTTCACAATGGCCGAAACCCAATCACGTCAGAAAATTAACTTATATTAATAATTTATAAACAATAACTTTATATATTGTACTAGTTTCTTAAATTAAACTTGTAATCTAAAATAAAAAAACAAATTGTTGTTATTTGTATATAATATATTATATTATTTTATATTTGTATATAATATATTTATGTTATAATAATAATAATAATAATAATAATAATAATAATAATAATAATAACAAGGTTATTAATAAATGTTTACATAAACACGTAAGAAATGTTAAAATATACGGATGGTACCGTCAAAAGGTGTCCAAGTAAATACATTGTCTGAAATTACTAGAGCACATGCAGTTGTATTAGCGGCGAACGCGGTTGATGCTTCAATTTCAATACGTAGGTCAAAAGACGGCACTGTAATTGTGTCGGTCTGCTTTGACATATCAATCACTGCAATATAATTATTATAATGATATTAAAAAATAATATCAAATATGGTTAAAATAAAAACATCTATACATTTGTCGGTTAAATACAAGATATTTGTATGGTGGATTTGTACCGCACATATTTGTACAGTATTCATTATCACATGTAAAATGTTAAATTTCGTGATGTAAAATACAATATGTGTATGAANGTTAAATTTTGTGATGTAAAATACAATATGTGTATGAAAAAACTATGTTTAAAGATCTATACCTGTTCTTGTACTTCATCCTGTCACATGCATAACACTAGAAGCAATGGCTAATTATGTTAGCCTTAATGTATATTATTATTAATATTATATACAAAATATGAAAGAAAAAAATAATTAACTTACAACAAAACAAACTTATTATTTACAAATTATATATACCACTCTGAATATTCATCTACAGTCTCGCCATCCAAATTAAAATTAAGATAGGTAATTGGGGTGCGATAGTACGTCGGTACCAAATTCACCATATGCTGAGTCAAGTTTAGCTCAGTTAAACCTATGTTTAATATTCATAATCATAATCTTACTTTGAATCTATATTGGCTAATATGAATCGTCAAATGAAAACCAGTTTCAATGCTAATGCTAACATTCATCTTGTTTACGTGATACAATTAAGTTGTACATGCAAACAAGATCAATTATACGACGATNTGCATGCAAACAAGATCAATAATACGACGATTTTTAAATCCACTCCTCAACTTTTGACTGCTACTTGTAAATAAGCTAAGTCTTTCTGTACAATAAAAATAATCTATGTAAACATAATTTTCGACCTTTATAAAGTAAATTAGTTTCGTCTATTATCTATTAGTTTTAATTTTATTATCAAAAGTATTACTAATAATTTTTTTTACCTTCAAGCCAACGTTTATGCCCATAATCAGACTTTACGGTGAATAGCTTTTCATACAATTCTCGTAAATAAATCTCCAGATCGACCGATGTGCGTTCAATTAAATCGTTAGTAATTGCCTCATATTTTTCATACTCTGCATTATTAACGAAATATTCGAACACTACATCTCTTAATAATGCCCTATGTTGATAACATTTATTGATTTCACAATCACAATATTTAAAATTGTAATCTTCTATTTTTACATATAAAATATATGTTAACGATAAATGAAGAATACTATTATCAATTTATTTTACTCACTTGTGGCATTGAAATCCATAATACATTAAATAAAGAAATTTTCTTGTAAAAAATTTTCGATCGTATTCATTTTATTTTTTGTTTATGATTGAATACGCTGGTCAGTTGAATAAATGATAGTTTGTATGCGTCCTTGTTCAGCATAGAGCGTTACAAGTAAAAAAATCATACATTTCGAGGTGTTGAGATAGGAAATTTATAATAAAAACTATACTTAATGATCTATAACTGTTCTTAGCTAATACTTCACCCCCTCACATGTATCTATGTCACATTCATTATTCAGTAATTATATATGAATTTTTAGCCGAATAAGCAACAAACACATAGTAAAATTAATAGTTTCTATGAGTCCCGTCAAAGTTAAACATTTTTTAAAACTTGATTACATTATTAACAGTAACAGGTAATATAACAATATTTTCTCAATAGTCACATTTTATTTATGAATTATTAATATACCAATTTTCTTAACATAAACACTTTATAAAAGTGTAAATTTTAAAACTGATTTTTTGAAAATTGATCCATCATTTTGGAGTGCGAACAACAGTTACATAAACGCTTTAAATACTATAAGTAAATTACGAGTCATTAATGATACAGCCTAGCGTGGCATTAAATTAATCTAAGACTACATTAATATATTAACTACAAATGAAGAACAGAAACAATACGTTTTACAAACAGTAAGTAATTATCGGAAAAAATTTCCTAATTGTAAAAAAAGTACATTATCAAAATATATATATTATAATATAATTTAATTATTGTTAAAATATTTTTTTTAAAGTTGTTATTATTTAAAAAAAAAAATAAATTAAAAATTATTAATAACAATTAAATTAAACTGTTTGGTTTGTAATTAATCATTAATTAACTGTCCATAAAATAATAAATCTAATATAATTATCGTACTTGGCATAGAAAATTAAACTTCAAGAATCTTTTTTTAAACGAATATGCGTTTTCCAAAAAATAAAATGAAAATAAATAATTAAAAATCAACAAAATCAGTTATAACGTATTTTAAGACTTTTACATGTTTTTTACTGTATGTAGTGTTTTTGTGGGCTATTTATTGAGAAAACAACATTGAAGTTATTATTTTTGAATTTCTTGTAAAATTTCCTTTACTTGAGTTTTACTTTTATTATTCTAAGTTANAAATTTCCTTTACTTAAGTTTTATTTTTATTATTCTAAGTTAAGAGAAAAAAAAGTTATGAGACATAGATCAGTTATTTCTATTAAATTTGACTCTTCGACTCGACTTAATAGGCCCGGCGGCACGGGTTAACCTTAACGGATCGGTCCCAAATTTTGCACCGCTCATTTTTTTGACCATTAAAAAAAAATTAAGGGGTAGCGTAAAAAAAAAAAAGACATTCGATTTTTGAGGGCCACCCTAATGTACACATAAACACTTTTGCAATTCACAGCCCTAATGTGCCATAATACTACATCCCTAATACCAATTGACTTTTTACAATCATCGCGACCATTACTCTTGTCTTATATTTAACTTAACACACCTACTGCGTAAATAGTGTGTGTGTATAACGCCATCAGCTCCCTGTTGGATTATATCATCTCTAGGTGTCCAGCAGGTTGTACTATTTATTTAATATATCCTTACTTAATAAATATTTATATCGTTGTTATCCAAGAGTGTTTTATACAGAGTGATTTTTTTATCATAACCCACTCAATTGCTTGCAGAATAATAATAATTTAAACATTTTTTTTTATTATTATTATCTTTAGTTACACATTATTCTTGAATAATGTGTAACTACTAATAATTTAACTACGTAATACTTTTCAAGTTCATCCCTTATGCCTTGTAAGGGGGTCGACTTTGTTTTTTTAAATGGTAACGCATATTTTGAATTCAATAAAACGTTTGAGTTTTTAATTCAATAGTAAATGGCATTTGAATTTTTAACATAACTAACTTTATTCGTTTATTAGATATAATCATTTAAAGTTTCATATTTTTGAGTTAATATACAGGTATAATACACAAGGGATAACAAATATAGGTAGCTAATTGGTTTTTTATGACATCGATATTAGCAGGTACACAGCATTGTTATTATCAATGATAGTAAGGTACATTGTTGTGAGTTTATAAATACACTATTTGACAATACAAAAAGTATATCTATCGGCAGTCGNATTTGACAATACAAAAAGTATATCTATCGGCAGTCGTAATTGATAATAAACAATTCGTGACTGTGACAGCAATGTCATAAAAAACAAGGCATAAGGGATGAACTTAAAAAGTATTATGTAGTTAAAAATTCAAGAATAATGTGTAACTAAAGATAATAAAAAAAAAAATGTTTAAATTATTATTATTCTCCAAGTAATTGAGTGGGTCATGATAAAAAAATCACCCTGTATATATATATATATATATGTAGAGAAATTATTTTCTTCATTAAAGTATTACACGCGCCTTTTATTTACCCCGCGCAGATGGACCTGATCAAGATAAGATGATAAAATTTTGATGTCTTTGATAATAATTATAAACAAAGATTGTTAATTTAGAAAATTGTTTTAAGGTTGTAAATTTAGTA